GTTTTTAAGAGTTTTTTGTCAAATGCTTTATAATATAGTATAGATATATAAAATAATTTATTATTTATGTAATATTTTTGGATTTTTTATTTTGAACTTTGAGTTTGATCTAATATGTATTGATAAATTAGTTGGACACGTTACAAATCACATATCTAATTTAGTTTATTTTTTTTTTACTTCTTACAATACTTTTAATTATGCAATATGTATTTAGGAATTGGATTTATTGAACTCTTTATTTTTTTGAACCATGGTCATTTTATTATCAATTTTATAATATATTTTTAAACTTATAATTATTGAATTGTAAACATAAATTATGATAGGTACAAACCGTATAAATCGCACATACGATGCAATTTAAAGATAATTGGAAAAATGTTCAAACCACATATACAATAACCGTACCATAAAAACCCCTACTTTGAATTATTTCAATATAATTAATGATTTCCCTATTCAAACTTGACAAGTTTTCTTTGAACAAAATTTACTTACACTTGGATTATATTAATTAATGTATTTCTTAGTTTTTCCTACACAATTGCTAAAAAGAATTACTTCAATTTCAAACTCAGCTAATAAAAACTTAATGTATTTGATTGAACATATTTAATTGATGTCCTAGCTCCATCAAACATTTATAATGACTCATTTAAAAAAGTTGCGCATATCATATAAAAATTAATCTTGTTCTCACTACAACAAAAATATAGAAACGTCCTACAAAATACTTTATAAGACCTTCATTTATAGGATCAAACCAAAAAACATTGTATCTAAAATTGTTACAATACATATGTTTATAGAACGTTTTCAGATGTTTTAACAAATTTTAAGACGCTTTTTAATATAAAGTGTTCTATAAACTATTTTATACAATACTATTTGAAAAAGTATCGTATAAAAAGATGAGTTTATAAATCATTTTTCAAAAGTATCTTATAAAATAACTAATATGAGACTTTATTCTAAAGATGTTATATATAGAAAACTTGTTAATGCATCTAAAAGCATGATATAAATCTATTGTAAAGTTTTTAGACATAAAACTATATAATTTAGTTTTACAAACCCAAGTTCTATAAAGTATTTTATTAGGATAGTTAGATAATCTAGACGTCCTAAAAATCCAATTTTATTGTAGTGTCTAGTACCATCTAGAAACTCAACACAATCCATTAATTCTATATATGGTAGAATTTCTAACTTTTAATTAAGTAATCTTTTAGAAAGAAGGGTTGCATGTACATTTTTAATTTAAAAACTGTGCAAGTCATGCATTCATTTTCACCACAAAAAATAGTTTAATACGATGTTGAATCTTTGTAATAGAGAACTTAATTAATCTAGTATATGTATATGTATATGTATATGTATATGGAGTATCTGAAAGAAAGTGATTTCACATATTTTGACACTTAAAAAAAGTGTCTACTTAGTGTCATTACGCTACAACTACAACTACAACTACAACGTTCAAAATGATGAATGGTCTTAAAAATTGAGGTTAAGTATTTGACCGGAAAACTTACAACAATAAACTAATTTTAATTTTCAATAAAGAAGAATTGAAAACTAACAAGAATAGATTTTGGTTATATATACATAGAGAGAGGGGATGAGTTATTATGTAATTTTTTATATTTGTACAATCAATACAACTCAATCTCAACCGTCCATTTAATTTGATATACATGTGATTTCTTAAAAGTTTTGATTGTTTTCTAATATAAAGTATTGATCATGATTAATAAGTCATAGTCATCTTTCATAAATATTCAAATCATAATAAATAAACTTTCATCATTTTCATAAATATCATAATTGATTGGGTTACATTGGTTGTACAAATATAATAAGTTGTATTTAAAACCTTGAATTAACAAAACTATGGATCTAAATCCTATTTGTTTGTTTGTTTGTTTCTTTTTAATTGCTAAAACAAAAATATTGAAAGCATTTGCTTTTTGTTTTTGTTTTTTAAGTAACATACTTTTCAACTCTCAAATATTTGTAAGATATAATAACAGAAAACACTTATTGCCTTTTATTTTTGTTTTCAAACAACAATCATATCACAAATTAAATTAAACATTATAATTCTTCTATAAATTGCAAACAAAAACAGTACCTACATATAAACACAAAATCAAAGAAGAACCTAAAAAATAGTTGACAATTAAACGCTAAAAACCATGAAACATCTGTTGTTTCATATATGAAGTACAACGTATTTTTGTTTGGCTTTACATGTGAATTCACAATGTTTAGATGCACATTCCGGCCATTGGCCACTGCACCTTGCCACAGATTTACATGTGAAAATATGTGTAACCTCATTATATTATTTTTCACAAGATCCTTGAAAAAAAAGGTAGGTTCAGGGATATAATTACATATTAAACACACTACGTGCATGCAGATAAAGACCAAGTGCTAGTAGATAATACATACACATGAACTTTGAATTCAAGTCCTTCCAATTCGACCTAAAGTTTTACGATATTATAAGATGGAGGTAGAAACACTCTCTTTTTACATTTTTTGTTTTCGGTAACAGATGAAAAATAGCCAGGCAAAATTGTTATAAAAAAATTAATTATAACAGGTTGTCACCTTACTCTTTTTTCCTTAAAAACCATATATCCACTTAATTTAGCAACATAATCAACTATACAACATACATATGCAAATTCAAACTTTGAGCCACTCGATCATC